TGGATTGATATAGCTACTTCCTTAGGGTGTGGTTTGGGATTATAAACCAGTTGTTCAGGATTCCTGTTCACCTTGCTTTCCTTATATTGCATCTGGTGGCTGTGTGCCCACAGGGAGAATCTTTTCATCTGGCTGATAACAGCAGCAAAATACACCATGCCATTAAAATTAGTTGTTTTCAGCCAGATTAGCCAGCAGAATCAACCCACTCTGCAGTTGCTCCATCACTGGATTCAGCACAAAGGAAAGGCCAGGAGAACAGTGGCATGTGACCACCGGTGTTTGGTGTTAGGTTATGGCTCTAGCTGCAAGCTGCCCCCAAAAGGACAACCTGCTCTCATTCTCCCCTCCCTGCTTCCAGCAGCATGTTCCTGCTGCTGCCACTGCTTTCTGACTCCTCGATGAGCTGGGCCTGCTCTCTGAGCCAGCAGAGAACCAATCCAGCACCTAGGGAGCAAATAGTTTTCTGCCTACTTGATGAAGGGAAGGGGATTGCTGAGAGGTCTGACAAGTGTAAGAGCTGGCAACAAGGATGCTGGTGGGAGTCTGGTGTGTGACTGGGAGGGGAGCAGGGCAGCTCCTTCTGATAGCAGCCATTTCATGAAACTTTTTCTCAATTTAACCCAAAGCAGCTAAAAAAAACCCAAACAAGAACATTTAAAGTGAGCTGCAGCTGAGAAGATGGGAACCAGCTGCATGCTCTCCATTAAAAACAATCCATCTGATAATTAGATTAAGAGGAACAGATTCAGTGCATGTTTTTTGAAGGTATGTTTCTGTTTGCTAAATGGAAGGAGCGATATGAACAGCCCTGCATATTGCACACACAGCCTTGCTCTTCTCAAGAGACAGGCAGGAGGCTCAGCAAACACTTTTGGATAGACTTACAATCTCCTGTGCTGTGGGGCTGTTTGGAGGCCCAAAGGCAGACGTAGTGCATTTCAAAATAAAGGCAAAAGGAAATGCCACAGGAAGGAAGAAGCTGGTATGCAGCGCAGAGGGGGATGTGTCTGGTACATCATAGGGCAGGGGTGTGCCATCTCTGTCCCCTCTGGGGACATGTGCTGGCTGGGATCAAACCGTGACCCAGAGGTACCACTCTATCCTGGAGGTGTTTCAAAAGAGCAGTCATAGGTGCTCTGAATTTACATGGATGGAAATAATTCATCTGGCTGTTGATTCACGTGTTTTGTTTTTGTTTGTTGTTTTTTTTCTGGGCAGATAGCCAAAATGCAATTGCTAATTGCATCTGTTTCCATGTTCTCTCTTTTGTAAAATCACTTTATTAGAGGAGGTGGTTAAACTCCAGAAGTGCTCAAATTCCTGGCCATATCTTGCTCAGCAGACTTCTTGATAACAGTGCTGCACTGCCTCTCTCAGCTCACGTGCCTGGAAAAGGCGTCATTGTTTACACAGGTAACAGCTGCCGACGCAATCATATCAGCCTAAGATATATCCAACTGGTATCACTTGTTTTATTAGACTGAACTGTTCTTTCATGATCACCTGTTGCTGGTATAACTGTGTCCATGCTACAGGATACTTGCCGTCAAAATGGGAATATTTAGTATAAATGAGCTTTAGCACTTGTATGTATCCTCAGGAGTCACTCTAGCACTCTGTCAATAAACCTGTTTTCAACAGTGTTTGCTGACACTGCTGGAAAGGTATTGCCAGAACCTCCATCTAATTAACTGTTATTCTGCACCTCATGTAATATGTTACCCCACCCCTCCCTTCTTCCCGGGCCCAAATTACTTTGTTCCCAGTTTCTCTCCCTCCTTCCCCCAAGCAGCACAGGGGGACAGGAGATGGGGTTTAGAGTCAGTTCACAGGCTGGGGGTTCCTGCTGCTCCTGCCTCCTCAGGAAGAAGGATTCCTCACAGTCCTTCCCTGCTTCTCCCAGGGCAGAGAGTCCTCCACGAACCTCTCCTTCCTGAGTCCTTCCCACGAGGTCCAGAGCTGCTCCAGCCTGGGCTTCCCACAGAGTCACGGGCTGCTTTGGGAACAGTCACCTCTCCTGGCACCGGGGTCTTCCACAGCTGCACAATCAGAGTCCATTGGCCAAGTTCACCCCTCCTGGTGCTGTCAGGGAATGTTCCACCATGTTCCTCCATGAGTGCAGGGGCACAGCTGCCATTTCAGTATAGGCTGCAATGAAACTTCTGCTTGGGCACCTTCTTCTCCTTCTTCCTCACCAGCCACTGGCAGGGCTCTGCCTTTCCAGCTCAGCCCCTTGTAACTGCTGCTCAGCTCAGGTCTTACCTCAGTTCTTTTGTATGTCAATCACAGAGTTGCATCTGTTGCCTCTCTAATGGCTCCCTGGATGGGTTTGAAGCAGGGGCAGCTTCTCAGCTTCTTACTGGAGCCACTCCCGGGGCCCTTCCCCTGCTACCAAGAAAGCCACCAAACCAAACCAAACCAATCCAGTACACATTTGAATAAAAAGTAGTAATGTAAAAGGACAGATTTGTGTATGAGAATTTTCTCTCAATCAATCCTGTAGTACCATGAAACCCCTCACTGTCGCAGATCCACCCATCTTAGTAGAACCAAACCCAACCTACTGCACATGCACAAATGGTTGGAGTGTGATCCTTGAGTTGAATGCGTCCTGAACATTTGAAAGAGTTACTGAGAAGATAAGCTGTTTGTCACACAAACAGTAGGGTCACCCTGAACTCCTAAACTTCAAGAAAACTAATAAACAGCCACATAAATTGTGCTTGGTGGTAGATGAAGCTGAGTGGTCACCAAAATAGGCAACACTGGCAGATTCACTGTAGGTCCTAGGACAGTTTTCCAATAGGCTTTAAAAAAAAAAAAAAAAAAAAAAAAAAGTCAATTTCTATAAAATTACTGTGATCATGAGAACTGTAAGGGGAAAACAAAACCATTTACATATACTCTTTAGTCTAGATTATATCAGGCAGAGCAATGTAGATATATAAGTACAAATCAAATTTGTTTTCCTTTGTGTTGCTAGCAGAGTTGGGAGTCCACTACTACACTGTACCAGTGCCTCCACAGGTGGTTTTACAGTGTAAGATCAGCTCCTAACCAAACAGCTTGTACCTGTCCTTTAAGGAATAGCAGGTAGATAATGAGAAAACCTGTAATTCAAAGTAAAAGAACTTGAACACTTTCTTCCTTCTGGTCCTGGTTTATTCCAGCCAGTACAACTCTCATGAATGCAAAATTAAGACAGCAAAAAGTGGAACAGAACTTCATGGTCTAGAAAAACGTGAATCCTTTTACGGCTCACAGACACAATGCCAATTGCCAAACCTTGGAGAATGTAATTTGTCCATTGATCTGGTCAACTTACCAGAGATACACATAGCCTTTCCTTCCAGCCAATCCACTCTCTTCTCCCAGCTACAGGAGCTCCAGGCTGGTACAATAACACTAGGGCTGGGAGTGATGTTCACACCTGTTTTATTTAATATAGCCATTCCTGAGAAGCTGATAACATTATTTTCATAGTGAATTATTTGCATTTCTGAGCCCATGGCATAGTGCCAGACTCAGCTGTTCAGATATGTTCATTTGAGATAAATCAAGTATCTAGCAGCTTTGCTCTTGCAAGCATCACATTAGGCCACATCCTAGACAACAGGGCTCCTTCCCCTGTTGACCACCACCTTGCAAGTGCAACTCCTCCAAAAGACAGCCTGAGCATATGGGTTACACGTGTGGGCTCCTGGGAGGAAGGGCTGATGGTCTGATACCTGTAAACACCAAGATGAGTAGAATTGCTTTATGTTTAAGTGTTTTTCTCTATGAACATTTTAATGATTCACTGTATAATTGAAATGAGTAGGTTGATATTTTTAACTGTTAAATATTCAGAGCTTGAATTAAATAATTTATTTATTCTATATAAAGTTTCTAGGTACCATTTAGTGGAAAACACACTTGCTGGACTAGGTGACCTCTCTGGGACTTGTATTTATTCTGTGTTTCCTTTCCCATGCAGAACCAGCTGCTATAAGTAAAAAAATTAGTAATTTACTTGCTGTACTTAGCATTTTCATCCTATCTGTGAATTAAGCTACAGTTTTCCTCAAATACATAAACTATTTCGAACTCCTTGTCATAATCCTTTGGGAAATATGTCCTCATTTACAGGATTCATGAGCACCAAAGGTGTTAGAAGTATTCAGGGCTGTATCAAAAGAAGTGTGGCCAACAGGTTAAGAGAGGCGATTCTCCTCCTGTACTCTGCTCTTGTGAAACCCCACATGGAGTACTGTGTCCAGTTCTGGAACCCCCAACACAGGAGGGATGTAGAGCTCTTGGAGCAAGTCCACAGAAGGGCCACAAAGATGATCTGAGGGCTGGAGCACCTCTCCTACAAGGATAGGCTGAGAGAGTTTGGGCTGTTCAGTGTGGAGAAGAGAAGGCTCTAGGGAGACCTCATAGCAGCCTTCCAGTGTCTCAAGGGGCTACAGGAAAGCTGGGGAGGGACTTTTTATAAGGGCATGTAGAGGAGGGAAAGCTTTACATTGGAAGAGGATAGAATAGAGGTTAGACATTAGGAAGAAATTCTTCACTATGAGGGTGGTCAGACACTGGAACAGGTTGCCCAGGGAAACTGTGGCTGCCCCCTCCCTGGAAGTGCTTAATGGCAGGTTGGATGGGTCTTTGAGCAACCTGGTCTAGTGGGAGGTGTCCCTGCCCATGCAGGGGGGTTGGAACTAGATGATCTTCAAAGGTCCCTTCCAACCCAGACCATTCAGTGATTCTATTATTCTAAGCCATACTGGCTGTGTGCCATGGAACAGCCAGGGCTGGCTGCTCCCTAAGGATCAGGGAGCCAAGGGGGTTGGGAGTGCAAACCCACAGGACAAGGTACAGGTGAGGATCTGGGGGCCTGTGGCCACAGCTCAGGCAAGGGCCAAGGCTAAGAGCACTGGTGCCTGCCAGGAGTGCTCCCCATGGCTGTGAGCAGGCCCTGAGCCTGGCAGCTGATCTCCAGCAGTGGCAAGGATGCAATCATGGCCCTGTGGCTGCCTGGACATATAGCTCTGGGTAAATCTCTATTGTATATCAGATAAGGCAGGATTCCACACTGTAGCTCAAAGAGCTATCTCTGCAAATTCATAATTTTTTTCTGGAAAAATATTCTGTCATTTGTTACTCCAGTATCCCAGAGCAGGACTTCTGACTGCTCTCAAAAGCTGAGCCTCTATTTATTTTTTTCTAATATCTCACAGGTATTGCCCTTCTCCCCTCCCCTT